ACCAGAGTGGCTTTGGACATGACCACACTCACTATAATGAGGTAAGCTTGAAGCACAGAGTAACAAGTATCTAACTGTAACATGTTAATGCTGAGCACGGACATGTAGAATGATGTAGGGCTGCTCGATTATGGCAAAAATCATAATCTTGATTATTTGGGTTAATAATTGATATCACGATTATTAAAAACTAATAAATAAAATTAGTAAATTATCCATTTACTTTGAAAACATCCATTTATTGGACAAATAAAATGTGAACAGTAGGTTAACAGTTGATTACCATGAACCTTATAATTCAACTGAAAAACCAATTCAAAAAATAAATAAATAAAAAAAAGAATATCGTAATTGCGATTAAAATACGATTAATTGAGCAGCCCTATAATGATGTGTTCTTCTCCATGTAGCATTCAAATATAGGACATATTAATTCCCACTAAATCATTGTTTATCACTGCAGATTAGTGGTGCAATTGTACTAAAGAATTGTTTGTATCTTATAATAATTTTAATTGGAAGGTAATGCCCTCAATACATTAATTACATCTATGGCGTTTTCTAACAATACATATTTATAGAGCGCTTTTCAAGAAACTCAAAGACACTTTACAGAGTAACAATTAATTACAACAACAACACACTTAAAATATATTTTAAGTGTGTATAAGTCCCATTTGTCCATTTTATAAAAAGTATTCTACCCAAAGCACTATCGAAAAATGTAAGGGTCCAAATGAATCCAATCTTTGTTCAACTGATCTATTGTGTAATTGCAAATATGTGTGTGCTATTCAGAAATAGCGATAACATTAGCCACACCAAAAACGTATAATGCTAAGAATGCAGTATGTTCTAAACCACGGATCTGTTCCTATAACAGCTACAAAAGTTCAAGTTGCACAGTGGTATGATGACGATGAAATGGTACACACAGATGGTTATGGGTGTGCGCTCAGCATGTGTTTCCTGTTCTTCCAAAGGTACCTGCCCAGAGAGGTGGACCCTCTGGTGTACAACATGTCACACGAGGACCCCGGGAGCGTGTCCTACTCTGAGATCGGAGGCCTGTCCGAACAGATCCGAGAGCTGAGAGAGGTACAGCTGATCAGAAAGCAATCCTACAAGACAACTATTGGGTTGGATTAGTCTCCGGATAAATAATGGCACACAGAAGGATTCACACGTCATTTGGGATGTATACATGTTTTTATAGATAGACATTTATATATAAATCCAGAATTACATTTGTAAATTCGTGTGCAATTATTTATTTTGAGACTTATCTAACCCAATAGACAACCCTTTCCTTATTGGAGGAATGTAGTGTTAAATAGGAAAGCCATGGAGAACAAATCAGCATCTTCATTTGATTTGTTCTCCATGGCTCTAAAATAATAATGCTGTTGTTATTTGGTGGCAGGTGATTGAGCTTCCCCTGACCAACCCTGAGCTCTTCCTGAGAGTGGGCATCATCCCCCCTAAAGGCTGCCTGCTCTACGGGCCTCCAGGTCAGTAACTCAGTGAACATGTACCCTTCTTTATTAGGCTGCCAATCAATGGCATCCATGCAAACACTGCACCTCCCAGGACAATAAATATCACTCTTTAATCCTTCTGTCACAGGCACAGGGAAGACTCTTCTTGCCCGAGCAGTGGCCAGTCAGCTGGACTGTAACTTCCTCAAGGTGAGTGTCAGCGCCAACATCGGGCTTTACTGCCACACTGCAGTCAGTCAGCTGATTCTATGTGTGTCTGTGCTGCAGGTGGTGTCCAGCTCCATCGTGGACAAGTACATTGGTGAGAGTGCCAGGTTGATCAGAGAGATGTTCAACTACGCCCGGGACCACCAGCCCTGCATCATCTTCATGGACGAGATCGACGCCATCGGTGAGTGACACTGGCCATCTGATTTGGTTGTTGTAGGGCTGTTGTCCAGGGGGTTAAACCCACCTACAGTACCTAGCTACCTACCTAGCTATTAGAGGGTCAGTGGTTTGTTCCCCGCCATTCAACATGTTGACTGATATGATAACTGGACTGCATTAATATAGCGCATTTACATGTACAAGTCAGCATTTTGGGTTTCATGAAAGGCACTATATAAATCCAAGGTATTATCATTCAACCATATTCATAGAGGCAGAGGCTGCCAAACAAGGAGACTAACATTCACACACACTTACACACAAGCAATTGCAGTCAAGTATCTTGCCCAAGGACATGACCTTTTTACACGAACCACCGACCTTCTGATTTGAGGACGTGATCTGCCTCCTGAGCCACAGCCACCCCCATAAAGTGTTCTAGAGCGAGTTACTAAACCTCAGATAGCTCCTGCAGGCATGTCTACAGTTTAAAGTGCATGTCAGTCACTTTGGATCAAAGTGCCAGCTAACTGTAAAGCAGCCACAGGGTTGTAGTATTTGTTATGTTTATTTATTTTTTAAAAGGCTTTGTATATTCTCATCTACCCTGCTTGAAGCTCCAATCAAAGCATTTCAAATCTCCCAATTGGGAGGAATTTTTTGTGAAGCAGCTAAAGCTTAGTCTTTTTCACTGACGTAAGCTTCCGCTAACACTTCAAAGGGAAATAGAGCTTATAAAGAAACATGTTCACTACATTTGATTCTCTCAGAACCCCCCCATGTGTTCTGAATCCTCACTGTATATTCTCCGTCTGTGTCCTGCAGGCGGCCGTCGTTTCTCTGAGGGAACTTCTGCTGACAGAGAGATCCAGAGGACACTGATGGAGGTAAACCGCTCACTAAAATGTCCCAAGGTTCACTTGTGTTGTAATGGGACTTACTATATTCATATAATATTACAAATATTAGAGTGGATGGAGGATTCAAAGCACTGAGACACTTAACTTGTGTGTCCTGCCAGCTGCTGAACCAGATGGATGGCTTCGACACGCTGCACAGAGTGAAGATGATCATGGCCACCAACAGACCGGACACTCTGGACCCCGCCCTGCTGCGGCCCGGCAGACTGGACCGTAAAATCCGTAAGTCCCCCCTCCCCCTCCCCTTCCTCATCTGTGTCAGCTCTCTGAACACGCAGCAACACTAACGTCCTCCTCTGCTCCTCAGACATCGAGCTGCCCAATGAGCAGGCTCGCCTGGACATCCTCAAGATCCACGCCAGCCCCATCACCAAGCACGGAGAAATAGGTCAGTCACGAGAATCAGAAACGGGTTTATTTCCATGTAGGCTCACACGTACGAGCAATTTGACTAGGTGTCATGGTGCATACATACCAAAATAAGATCTGAGTATTTCTCCCGTTTCTGACCGCAAGCTGATTCTGACTTCCTGTTCTCAGTTTTACATGATCATCAGGATTTCCCAGATGTTTATAAGCTCCACTTTTAGTTCTAATGCTGGTTACTTTGTTACTTTGTTACAGCCTTATCATAGCATTTCATTTGTCTTCACTACGGTCGGGCCAATATAAACATTATCAAACCAGTTTGATATTGAGCCGGGACTGCACCAACAGAATGTTACCACTACCTAGTCCCACATGACTCCGCAGCCCCCCATGTTGCCTCAGTTGAGCTTTTAGTCTCTTCCATGTTTTCCTAAGACCCAGTGACATTGTTGGCAGGGTGCTGATGTAGGCTTCATTTTTATTCAAACAAAATGACAATCAGCCAAATTGTGTAACATCCAGAGGTGGAAGAAGTACTCCGATTATTTAGTAAAAGTAGAAATACTATGGTCTTTAAATTGCAGCGGTACGCAAGTATTATAAGCGAACAGTATCAATATTAAAAGTACTTGTTATGCATAACTACTCTGTTCACAGTATTTCAGAACAGTATTTATTTTATCACACAAATATATGACGTGTCATATTATAAAATACTGGGTATTAGTAAAACAGTACTGCAACATTTGTCATACTGCTAAGCTTCAAACAATGAGGTTCCTACACTGGACTGTACCAGTACAATAAGCCCTGGTCTCTACATAATGGACATTACTAGCAACTAACAGTGAGAAGGACGAGAGTATCAAATGTTCCTGCACACAGAGGGAGAGAAGGAAGCGGTGTATTGACTGTGAATGCCTCTGCCTGTTTTCAGATTACGAAGCCATCGTGAAGCTGTCAGACGGTTTCAACGGAGCCGACCTGAGGAACGTGTGCACAGAAGCAGGTTAGACATTTTCTATTCAGTATCATTAAAAAAATAATAATTCCTTCAGTCCATGTTGTTTACAAAAATCCCCTTTTTGTGTTGTTTGCAGGTTTGTTTGCCATCCGCGCTGACCGCGAGTACGTCACTCAGGAAGACTTCATGAAAGCCGTGAGGAAGGTGGCCGATTCGAAGAAGCTGGAGTCCAAGCTAGACTACAAGCCTTTATAAACTGTGTGTCAGTCCTTTCTCATATTTGTCATTGCATTTAGCTGTGTTCCATGCTTTAACGCCTGGAGAAAATGTTTGTAAATGTTTGTGGGATGCAAAACGTTTAGAAAAAGTACACGGTCCTCACCTACGAAGTGACACGGTAACCCCTGTATCCAGTTATTAGTCTGACCCGCCTTTTGTTTCATCTCTGGATCCAAAAGGCTGATCATTCTGGCATCCCACAAAACTCTTAACACTTACAAATAAATACCTTTTATGTTCTGAAAATATACAATTATATTGAAAGTTCTGTGTTTTTCAAATGATGACTTCTCATTTCTCTTATTACCTTCAACGTACTGAGCTCCAAAACTGATTAAACAAGTGTCAAAGTGTGTTCCGGAGTCTTGCCTTATAGTAGTCTCCTTCAGTATCAATATCTATGGGTACACCGCAAACAGGAACTCAGTGTTCACAGCTGTGTCTTATCTTAAGTAAAGGTCATGAAGATGATTTTCCATTCAATTGTGTCAATCTGGTTTGATGCAATATTCCAATAACCGGCTGTCACACTTTCAATGACAAGTCAGACAATCTGGGCCAAGAAGCCCCATGAATGATCACATTTCCAATAAATCACCAGAATTATTCCTGACATTTATTTATAGTCGGATTAAAGCTCAGGAAGTAATAAGCTTTGGTCAATAAATACTGCACTGGTCCTGTAAAAGAGGTCAATCCATCTTATTCTAAAACAAACATAGTCAACATAAATTATTTGTACATGAAAAATATCACTCTGTTATATACATCCTTAGCAACTGCTTTTCTTGCTCTACAATCTTAAAGTGATCAGCAGAGATTTAATTTGAGTGGTAATATAGATATCGACAGGAGACAATAAATAATGTGTGTTTCTGAGAATAAAGAAGTGGAGGCGTCTGTTTGGGGTTACTCTGAGGGAAACGGACAGATATGGCGGGGGGGAACGTGTCTCTAGTTGACCTTTACACTTCCAATTGGTCGATCCCATCCTGAGGTTCATTATGTCTGAATAAAGCATACGTTTACAAATGGTACATGGTCAGAGCTGAAAGCGCAGTTTAGCCCTTATTTAAGTGGTTCAGTGTGAGTCAGTGTCCTGCGGTCCCCCCCTCTGTCAGAGTGAAGGCCTCCAGCACGAAGGCCCTGCAGATGGGGCAGTGCTGGAAGCGCGACACACAGCTGTCACACACACAGGCGTGTCTGCAGGGCAGCAGCACCTTGTTCACCGCCGCGTTCTGACACACCACACAGCCTCTGCCCCCCCCCTCAGACCAGTCCTCCTCCTCTTCCACCTCCTCCTCTGGACTCTGCTCCCCCCTGCTGGCCCCGTCGTAGGCCTCCCTGGGTTGGGTGCTGTGCTCTGAGTCAGGAAGCTCTGACAACACGCTGTCAGCTGACATGAACAGAGGCTGCAGGAAACAGAGCTCATTGTTTTCTCACAGTCACATGAATAATAATACTGTAGTAATACTTTTGATTTGTATTGCACCATTCATGGAAGATGCAGCCCAAAGTGAAATGGCCTACATAGAAAATAACTGAGTACAAATAAGGAGTAAGAAACATAACATTTATATTGAACGAGGAGTATTTGTGTGTGCATTGAGAAATATGTTTGTAGGTTGATACATTTATACATAAATACAGAATTACATTAGTCAATCCTTCTGTGTGCAATTATTTATTTTGACACTAATCTGAGCCCATAGGATGTGACTTACCTTTAACTCGTACATGTTGCCCTGTGCGGTGAGCAGGTACTGGAAGAGAAGCCGAGCAGAGAGGCTGTATCTGTCATCAGGAACATGAAGAACTGTCACAGAGGCCACCTGGAAGAACAAGGACACCATCATGAATCGACAATGGTCGTTTTAACCACAAAGTGGCCATATTTGTACTCTTGGTGGGCTGACTTTGATTACCGAGTAGTGTTGCAACCACTGGATATAGGGAACACAAGATGAAAATATGACCTCTACGTATTGTCATACTGATATTCTGTAAAAACTGAAGTCCACTGAGACAAGTGTAACATTTGTGATATTGGGCTATATAAATAAACATTGATTGATTGATTGATACTATGGACAATTATTTTTCAAATAAATAATAAAGAAAGTGTCCATATTTGTAATTCCGATGGGTTGACTCTGTCTTACCTGACAGACCGTAGATTTTTAGTGCAGCTAGGTGCCTTCTCCTCTTTCAAAGCCCCTCTTACCTGTGGGGTCCCCCAAGGCTCAATTCTGGGCCCCATCCTCTTTTTACTGTACATACTGCCCCTAGGTTCAATTCTTACGAAACACAATATTCCCTTCCACTGCTACGCGGACGATGTACAGATCTATCTGCCTCTGTCAAAGCAAATGTCAACTCACTACAGCAGTTGATGGACTGCTTAACAGAGATAAAATCCTGGCTGAGCAAAAACTTCCTCAACCTCAATGAGAGCAAGACCGAGGTTATCTTTTTTTGACCCCAACCTCCAGCCTTTCCGGTTGATATTCTGGGCTCCCTAAGTAAAAACATCCTCCCCTCTGTCATGAACCTTGGAGTGACCTTCAATAGCACTTTTAAATTCGACAAGCAGGTCAGCACCGTAGTCAAATCCTGCTTTTTTTTAAATAAGACTATTGGCCAAGACCAAGTCGTTTTTATCTTTTAAAGACCTGGAAAGGGTTATTAACGACTTTGTTACCTCGAGACTGGACTATTGCAATGCTCTGTATGTGGGTATGGACCAGGCCTCAATTAAACGCCTGCAGCTAGTCCAAAACGCAGCTGCACGTCTCCTGACTGGCCACAAAAAGCGTGACCACATCACCCCAATTCTGGCCTCATTGCACTGGCTTCCAGTCCGGTTCAGAATAGATTTTAAAATCCTTTTATTTGTTTTTAAAGCACTAAATGGGTTGGCTCCGGCCTATATAGCAGAACTCCTCCATGCTACACCCCAGGCAGAGCCTTAAGGTCGGCTGATCAGCTGTTGTTGGTAGTGCCTAAGACTAGGCTCAAAACCCGAGGGCACCGAGCCTTCGCAGCAGCTGGCCCCAGGCTCTGGAATACTCTGCCCCTCCATGTGAGGTCGGCCCAGACCCTAGGGGCTTTTAAATCCACACTGAAGACACACTACTTCTCTCTGGCCTTCTAGATAGAGTGGGGTCACGACTCCTGACTGTTCCATGTGTTGCTTTATCTGTTGTGATTTATTGTCTTTTATTGTGATGTAATGTGTTTTTATGTGTTTAAATTACATGTACAGCACTTTGGCTCGACCAAAATCGTTTTTAAATGTGCTCTACAAACAAAATTTGATTTGATTTAAAAAAAAAAATGCATTTACCATCGTCAATAACCCCCAAAATTAATGCAACTTATGCCAATTGTGCAAATTGCCCAACATAGTGAGTTAGCATCCAGCAGGCTCTATGTGCTTTCTATATATTTAAATGTCTAACATAAAACTTTGGAATACTCATCGTTTTCCAGGTACACAACAGGACTCTATGAGCTGGCAAACAGATTATGAAGATGTAAATCCAGTCCCAAAAGGGCTTTGTATGTAAGTGTTTCTAAAAAGAAGAAGCCTGGACCGCTGTATGGCGCAGGTGCACAGAGGTTTGAATCCGGCCTGCAGCTCCTTAATGTGTCATGGTTTGACCAGATGTTCCCAGGAACTCCAAAATAAGATAAGTTCATCAGACATATCACTGATGGGTTCCTTCCTACATTGGATCAGATGGGATTCTGAGAGGAAAACACAAACACAGAAATCTTGTGATGTCTGTACTCAAAAGAAGCGGAAGGGGAAGAAAATGTTTTCAGGACTTTTAAGGTGCTTTTCCAGGATGATATTTTATTGAGTGTCAATCAGTGGTGGAAAGAAACCAAGTACATCTACTCATGTGTTGTACTTATGTACGGTGTGCATTGAATTAACACCATGTGTCTTTGGGGGAGGGGTTAAGACAGGTATTAACATGTAAGTAACACTGACGGGAAATGTCTGATCGTGAGTACTTACGATGTTGTACGAGTCTCTGGCTTCAGACTCTGCCAGCGTCAGCACAGCCACGAGAGGGTAGTGTTGCCTTGGCAACGGCCCAAAATCCGTGATCCTGTGGTCAGCAAGAATGTGTGTGTGGTGCTCCGCTCTGTCTCCACTGCCGATACTGGAGGGCGGGTCAAAGAGGCTAACATCAGGAACAACGTGTATGAGCCAATCACGAGGGGGAATATGGGGTCAGATTAGTGTCAAAATCAACAATAGCACAGAACGATTCACAAATGTACTTCTGGATTTATATATAAATGTCTCTATCTTCAAAAATATTTCTCAATGTACACACAAATATATCTATTAAAAGTGCGATGCTCCCTGGTGGCGCAAACATCCACGCACAAACGTAGAGAGATTCATGCACAATAAAGGTTTCTCAATATAAGCATAACAACATTTAAATATGTTTTTGATGAAAACATTAAACACTTGGACGTGGATTTATTACATTTATTTAAAACAAGGAACATTTGTGTGTGGATCCGAAATATTTTGAACTTATTTATATATATGTGGATTTTGTTGTTACGTTTATATATACTGTATATATATATCATAGAATAGTATTTGTGTGTACATTGAAAAATATGTTTGTAGATAAACACATTTACATATAAATCTAGAATAACATTTGTAAAATCTTCTGTGTGCAATTATTTATTTTGACACTAATCTGACCCCGTACTTTCCTGGTAACTGGAAGATACTTTACGCGACACGGTTGATTTGAATCAGAACATCAGAATAATAACATTAACTTGGGGGTATGTGTAAGCGCTGTGAAGGATACTGGAAGCTCTGGCAGTGGTGGTAGTGGGGGTGCAGGGCCTGCTGGAAGTGTTGGGGGGTGCTGAGCCTGGGGCCGTGCTGGTGGGCCTGCAGCGCCCCCTGCAGGGCTTGGACCTCACAGCCCCAGAAACAGCTGAGGACACAGGGCTCCAGACAGCAGGGCCTCAGAGACACCCCATCTGCAAGAGAGCAACTGTTATTATGGTCTGTTCCTCAGAACAGAAGGATACCACTCAAAGGTAGAACAATTCAAAACCCTGCAAATTCATAGCTGCATACATTGAGTTTGTTTGGGTGATTTTATTATCTAAACAGCACAGGAATAGGAAAATATCTGTATTCTGTAACAAGAAAGGATTTAATATGCAATATCTACTTAAGTTTCATATTGCAATTATTAAATCAAATTAAAGGGTATTTAAATAGCCCAATGTATGGGGTCAGATTAGTCTCACAATAAATAATTGCACAGAGAAAGATTCACAAATGTAATTCTAGATTTATTGAATGACTATCTACAAAAATATGTTTCAATGCACACACAAAAATGTCTCGTTTAATGTTAATGTAATACAAAATCCAAACACAAACATTTCGTGTTTTAAATAAATGTTGTTTAACCTGTTCAACCAGGAGGCCCCCGCCTGCGTTTTTTTCTCTCCACGAAACTATGTCTCAGGGCTTCTTAACATTTAAAAACCTATTAATGTGTCATACCCACTTAACTCATCTAACTGACGATACGAACCATTTTTAGCGAAACAAAACACAAGTCTCACAAGAAGCGTCTAAATGGACCCTGAGCTAAAAAATGCTAACACACTTAGCACAGAACTCTAGGTATAAATACCCTTATTACATATCGGATCTGCACAAACAAGATATCAGCAAGCAAGCTGAGATTCCACAGATTCTAGGGGTATAAGTATCATCACTGAGCGATCAGAACTCGTGACAGGGGAAACAAACACAGACACCACAACACAGAGCTTTACGGAGCAAAAACGGGACATTGTCTTACCTATGCTGTTGTTCTGATCAAAAGTTGTGTTCAATGGGATTAAAACGATAAAAACGCGGTTGAAGGTTAATCCAATGTGTCTGAAATGATTACTGATAATCCATCCTAATTTTTATGTCAATAACGGAGTTTTAATATATAGTTGCTATGAGAGCTACCAGAGTGTATGCCAGCTTCCGGTTTTGGGCATTCTGGGTACGCATCACTCATTCACCAATGGGTAATGTTTAGATGGATTTTAGGAACTTTCCCTCGATTCTATTGGCTCTAATGGTTCAAAAGAGGTGTCAATCATCAAAATCGACGAGGGGGGCCAGAGATATGGAAAATGCACCCAATATTTTTCTAAATCTGTCTAAAAAGGTCAAATGTCACTTGTTTTGCATCAATCTTGATACAGGGTACTTATTATATGTTACAGTTTAGATTCCTAAAGCTTTTAGTCTACCATCCCATCATTCAAGGGTGGTTTTCACTATGAGTAATGTTTTTTTTTTTGGACAGAAACTCTAATTTACATTTATTTACTGTGTTCAGTCTGAATTTTCTTTAAAACAAAAACATCTATATTGATTCTGACTTTTCTACATCCAACTCACAGGTGTAACCTTGCTTTGAGAAAAAAGATTATTAATTTAACCCTTTTAGAAGTGAAGATATGGTCATTTGTTCTGGGAATGTCATTTTCAAGCCTGAGACCTGGAAAACAGGCTCAGGGCCCAACTGGTTAAGGTTTTCATGAAAAACACGTTTAAATGTGACAAAAAACGTGTTTCTGTGCATGAATCTCTCTGCATTTGATGTGAGAAGACACCCCTGACACTCCCTGGTGTTTTGTATTACATTTATATAAAACAATAAGTATTTGTGTGTGCATTGAAAAATATTTTTGTAGATAGAGAAATTTAAATATAAATCCAGAATAACATTTGTCAATTCTTCTCTGTGAAAATGTGAATTTTGACTCTATTTTGACCCCATACATTATCACAAACCACATTTGTCTCAATGGGCATTACAGATTAACAAACATAGACGGCAGTGTTAGAAGATAAAGGAAATTACAAGAAAATTATACAAGACAAGATATAATGCGAAAAACAAATAAAAAAAGATAAAAATATATTGAGATACAATACAACAAAACACAATAACATACAAATACCATAACATTTAAGACTCAGGAGGAAAAACATAGGTTAATCTTAAACAAGCTTTAACTATAGGCTTTATTAAAAAGGAAGGTTGAAGTGTAGTTTAAATGCAGTGAGGTAGTGGCGAGAACAATATGTAAACATGGCTGAATTAGGGTATTGTATGTGGACAAAAAGAGTCCATTTAAAAAGACATTTAAAAAAACTAAAGTTAGCCAGAGGTGAGGCATTGTTCAGGGTTACTGCTGTCATGTTTATGGTAATTGCTCCATAATGGATAACAGAATAATCAGAGTCCACCTCTCCACCAAAAGTGTCCGGTTTGAAGCCGATGACAGAGCCAGCCTTCTTTAGGAAGTCTGCTGGTGTCACTGGCTCAGGTTCAGTATATTGGATAAAGGAAGCTTCTAAGGGTTGAGAAGGACACTTTCACTCAAGGTTGGGAAATCTCGACCCCCCCAGTTTCTGTGTTGTGAGTTAGTGATGATGAGTGATGTTCTCACCAGTGACGGAAGCCGACCCAGGGCATATCTCCAGGGCGAAGGGATTGGTCATCTGAACCATTTGCTTCTCGGGGGTGGGGAGGACGGACTCCGTCTCATCGGAGCTGCGGAGGATCACTGGGACGTCAAAGCCAAACCTGTGGGGGGAGACAAAGTACCAAAGTTAGGAGGAGCACAATGTAAGCATGTTCTGCATGGCTCTCTAAATCTTTTAACAAAGAAAACAAAGCTGAGAGGGGTACACACAAGAAAGAATCAGTGGAAATAATGATCTATTGCACCAACAGAATTGACCAATATGCTTTGATTGGCTGATGAGAAGACATATTTGTACTATTGGTTAATGGTGGAATTTGATGTAGATGATCCGATTTCCTTGTCCGTCTGACCTCTCATCTATTACTTTGACTTAAGGTACTTGGTAAGGTACTAATTTAGTTTACTGTACTTAAAGGTGGGGTAGGTCATTTTGGAGAAACCAGCTCGAGTGCGCTAGAATTTGAAAATACACAACCGGAAAAAATCTGCCCCTTCCTTACAGAGCCCCTCCTCCAACACACACGAACGTGCACATGACCAATGAGGGCACGAGATAAGTTTGAGCACAGATGGAAGGCTGACAGGCAGGTAGGCCATCCAGTTATTTTAGCCGGGCCGGCTCAGATGATTGGTCGTGCTTTTTACAGCGCCACGGCTTCCAGTGATGAGATGTTTTAATGTATTTATTGTCAAAGCATTTAATGTGTTCATTGCTATCGGGATGTTAAGAGCATTCCATGGAATATAACAAAAAGTGTATCTCGAGCCGGTTTCTCAAACCCCACCTTTAAGTACAATTGTTAAGTACTTGTATTTTAAGTATTTCAATGTTATGCTAATTCATACTTCTACTCCACTACAATTTGGAGTTAAATATTGAACTTTTTACTGCTCTACATTTATCTGACAGCATTTGTCACTGGTTACTTTGCAGATTCAGATTATTAATACAAATTAAAAACCAATGAATGAATAATGATGTATATTTAAAGATTAAAATACATGGCAGTATAAATTATTTTTAGCTATCCACCTAGTTAGCACCACATTTACCAGCTGTAAAATGTAAAAGATGTACACATAATTACATCACTATAATACATTGATATTATATATATATATATATATATATATATATATATATATATATATATATATATATAATTCAGAATGTACTGCATAATGAGCACTTTTAGTTTTGGTACTTGTACTTTATCCTAATTACAAAATGAATGCAGGTGCTTTGCTTTTAATGTGTATTTCTACACAGTGGTATTACTACTTTTACTTTGGTAAAATATCTGTGTACTTCCTCCACCACTGTGGACACAATGAATATGTAAATAGAATGTGCAGACTGCCATGTTGTGAAGCATATTCATAAACCACCTTTTAGTCAAAACTCAGGTGACCTCAATCTGACAGTAAGGGGTTTAAAGACATTTATTCTTTGCTGTAAATTTACAGTTTTCATTAGTTTTTATCTTAATTTATGCTTTTAACTGTCTAGAACACACATGTATTAGCCACAATATGTTAAAATATGTCTACTTTTGAGGTAATAATATAGGCGACTTGCCAGGTCATTAAACGTTGGTAAAATCGACTAAATCCGAGGGAGACGTATGATGTTAACGCGAGGAAATAATGTGATGCTATCAAACAGCTGTAGTCAGGGCAGTGGCTAAGCTAGCTAAACTACTAGCTACATATCACTTACCAGCCTAGCACCATGGCGGCGGTGACAACGAAACACAAAGACACCACACTAATGTAAAACAACGGGGAGTATTCATACAAGGTGACCAGGAACACCGCTGCCATTTCCTATAATTTATAAACCAAGTTATTAAATGCTCCTCTGGTAAACAGTTCCCATGACGGCCATGACAGTCAGGAACTCCTCAAATAGATCTACGGTGGCCTACAAGGTATATGAAGTAAACAACGTGTATCAGATGAATGCCAAATATTTAACGTTACGTTTGTTTACCATAACCACTAATTAAGTTGATATTTGCGTTATAATCACATGTTTATATTAGACATATGTTGAGCTTTTTCTCAAATCATATTTAAAAAAAAAAAAGTGTTCTGCCGACTCATGCAGGACCTTTAATTTGAAATATGGTTGATTTCGCCTTTCAATTACACAGTAAACAATAGTAAAAGCCAGTGGTTGAAATAACTACGTACATTTATTCAAGTACTGTTCTAAAGTACACATTTGAGCTACTTGGAATACATTATTTGTCTTTTAAATGTACATTTATTTTATTTTTCTGAAATTAGTAGTGGAGTTTATTTTGAAGGTTTGAAAAGGAAGCTCGGTGTGTCGTCATTAATTTGACATCATGGAGCGACTGAGATTTCCATCCTAGCTAGTAGTACCGTTATTATTCCAGCAGTTTTCACCCAAATGCGAACGAGCAGTGTAGACAGTCAGGAAAGAAGGTGATAGATGTTCAAATCGTCTGGGTAAATATGTTAAACCTGAAGCGATAATGGTAAAGATGTGGTCGGGATCAGAACGGTTCATCATACAGATGTTACCAGATGGGGAGAAGGGAATCATTAATCTGGTGTAATAGTCTGACGGTAGGGACATTTTTATGACGCTATTTCCATGTATTCTAGCCAAAGTATGAGCAATATGAAGGATACACCGACTATCCGTCAACAGAGCTCGGAGAATAACTCCGTCAGCAGTAGTGAATGGGATATGGCAAATGATGTGTTTGTGACCAGCTACGACGACACTCCGATGGGAGAAGGTGTTGCTGCCGGGGAAGGGGATCCGGAGCAGCCCGGTCTGGACCGACACCTGCCGCTGCTGTCCCCGGATGGCCTGATGCTGGGCCTGGCTGGGGAACAGTACTCGGGCTCATCGTATCTGGACCCAAACTACACGGAAAGTGACGGGAATGTGACAACCAAAAAGCGCATACGGTCCAACAGCTCCCGGCACCGCGGCGAGGTGGTGACGGAGCTGGGACCGGAGGAGATCCGCTGGTTCTACAAAGAGGACAAGCGGACGTGGAAACCATTCGTCGGACACGACTCTTTACAAATTGAGATTGTCTATCGGAGGTTCAGTGAACAGAACCCAGACAAGGTCAACCGCCCCGCGGAACCACCCGAGGCCGAGGGGAAGGAGGAAACCCAGGCAGAGAGCGGGGCGGTGGACGGGGTCCGGGCGGAGCAGCCGGTGCTGGGCTGCGGAGGGCAGCGGCTCTCCGGGTCAGACGAGATGAGGGACCCGGACGACATCCTCATCGGCGTGGAGGCAGTGTGTGTCAGAGGGGGGCTCTATGAAGTGGATATCAAGGAGAAGGAATGTTACCCCGTTTACTGGAACCGTAAGTTGTTCAAATACACTAACACCATTGAATTACTGCTACCAGTCTGTACTGTCTGTACTGTCTGTACTGTTTGTACTATACTGTCTGTACTGCACAGTCTGTACTGTACTGTCTGTACTGTACTGTCTGCACTGCACAGTCTGTACTGTACTGTCTGTACTGTACTGTCTGCACTGCACAGTCTGTACTGTACTGTCTGTACTGTACTGTCTGTACTGCACAGTCTGTACTGTACTGTCTGTACTGTACTGTCTGTACTGTACTGTCTGTACTGTACTGTCTGTACTGTACTGTCTGTACTGTACTGTCTGTACTGTACAGTCTGTACTGTAGGCTGCTGTCAGAGGTGGAGGAATACTCAGGTCTTGTACTTCAGTAAAAGTAGAAGTACCAGAGGGAATACTCTTTTACTACGAAAATCACGTTTTGTAATTGTTATTCAAGTAAAGTATACAAGTATTGCCATTCTTAATATACTGTAAAGAACAAAAAGTAAAAGTAGCCTACGTGCAGATTGGCCCATGTATGTTTTGATTACAATTAATGCATTTGTTTATAAAGCTGGGTGAATGAAGGTGGAACTCATTTTAATTACTTTATTTACTGCAGGCAGGGTATAGTAACTGTAACTGTTAAATACAACCTATAAAAACGATTTCATCCACTATTTCTGCCATGACTAAAACGTCTATTCATAATTGTTAAAATAAGACAATGAGTCAATTTACCAGTTACTTGTTAGTATCAGTTAAATGTGCTAATAGGCCATTTTCTTTACAATGATAACAAACACAGAACATTCTTACATTAGACAATCTGCAGCCATTTATTTTTTGAAACGCTTCTGCTTCATAATGACTTAAAGACTACATTGATTAGGTATTGCGATTACTTTTTTTGCTGAATTTACAAAAATGTCAGTCCTAAACATAAAATACAAATATGATTGCAACTCTTGTTCACTATTTATCTATCAGAAATAAGAACATTTTGTGTTTTCTGGCACACAGCCAAACTTTCTTGTAAAAATAGTTTCAATATCATCATTTGTATTTCTGCTGCTACTGTTATTGCCACTATTTAAACAGTCAAACTACTGATACCATTGAAAGTAACAGTTGTCATGACAGTGGAACAGTCTAAACATATTACATCCTCCCAGTGCACTTAAAAAATTAAAAACATTAATTAAATGTATTAGGTCCACAGATTTCACATAACTGTATTAGGTAAGTTGAAAGCAATAATATTAAGTTGAACCAAATATTGTATTTAATAACTTAACTACCTAATATTATTGTTTCAACTAACCTAATACAGTTATGTGAAATCTGTTGACATAGGACATTTAATTAAAGTCAACGTTTCAGTTTTTCCATACCGTTCTCATTGATTTCTTGTCTTTTAAATGTTTTCATTGCCAAAGATAATAATTCACTGATTTTCCCTTTCACTAACCCTAACTATACCCCATGTCGTATCTGTGTCTCATTCATTTAACATCTCTTTAATCCCATAAAGTATCTGTTTTCTGTACTTTGATAAAGATATGGAATTAGAGCAAGCCTATAACAATCAGTGAAGTCAACATGATGTGGTGTCCCTCAGAGCAAGACCGTATCCCTGTGATGAGGGGGCAGTGGTTCATCGACGGGACGTGGCTTCCCCTGGAGGAGGACGAGAGTGACCCCATCGAGATCGAGTACCTGGCCCGTTTCCGAGGGCAACAGATGAGGGACACTTACAAGATGGAGGTGGTGGACACCACAGTGGACAGCAAGGATGGTGAGGAAGACGTAGAAATATATGTGTGTGTGTGTGTGTGTGTGTGTGTGTGTGTGTGTGTGTGTGTGTGTGTGTGTGTGTGTGTGTGTGTGACAGGTAGATAGGTGTGTGTGTGTGTGTGTGACAGGTAGATAGGTGTGTGTGTGTGTGTGTGTGTGTGTGGAGATAAATGTGCACAGAAGCTGCAGGTGTTGGGAACATGGTCGGGATTCAGAACTAGGACACAAAATAAGTCAGGTGATGTTTGCTATCCTGGCTCCAAGATGGTGGAATGAGCTCCCCATTGACATCAGGACGGCAGATAGCTTACACATCTTCCGGCGCAGACTGAAAACTCATCTCTTTCGACTCCACTTCGAGCGATAGAACTATTAACAAAGCACTTATACTAATAAAGGACTGGCTTATCTAAAGCCAGTTGAGTAGCACTTGAAATGTTTGGCTCTATGAAACCTGATGTACTTATATGATTCTGTTTTCTTCAAGGTTGTGTCTTCCTGGTCGAACGCACTTATTGTAAGTCGCTTTGGATAAAAGCGTCAGCTAAATGCAATGTAATGTAATAATGTTATTCCAGCTCTACCAATAAGAGAAGAAAAGACGAGGGTGTGTGAGGTCTGTTTGTAAATTGGTGGGTTGGGAGGGTTACTTTAAAAATGTAATCCGTTACAATAACTAGTTACTTGTCCATAAATGTAATCAGTAATCTGAGTATTTTATATAGAAAAGAAAGATATTTGATATGAAAACATTTGGAGTACTAGTTTCCTGCTACTAATCTCTATTTAAAAAAAAAAATATAATAGTAATCTGATTATTTTTGTTATGTTAATGTCATGGAATATTTATTTTTGTATCCTGATTATGAATCCTCGTTACATGTAATCCGTTATTCCTCCAGCCTGATTGTCACACATACCCCCACACACACTCTACATACCCACATGGGGAACGGTAAATTAATTATGCTGGATAAAGTGTGTCACTTGCTGTTAATTACTGTGACTGTCACCCAGCCATCCACAGCCGGAAACTGAGCCGGAGTCACGTGGACTGGCACAGCGTGGAGGAGGTGTATCTGTACAGCGACGCCACCACCTCCAAGATCGCTCGCAGTGTCACACAGAAACTGGGCTTCTCTAAAGGTAAGTGTGTGAGCGGTGTGTCCCATATGGGGTCAGATTAGTGTCAACATAAATAATTGCACACAGAAGGATTTACAAATGCAATTCTGGATGTATAAATAAATGTCTATCTACAAAAGTAATTTTCAATCCACACACAAATACTGTTTTGTTTTATATAAATGTAATTCAAAATCCATATACAAAAAATTAGGAAAGTTTACGCATTAATTAACGGCAACAATTATTTTATCGCACATTAACATCATCAAGAGAGACAATGTTTGTAACTTAGGAGAACTGACCCTTAAAACCAATGAACACATTAATTAAAGCGTGACTATAATTTGCAGGTTACAGAACTGATTTAGATATAGGCTGTAGCTCAGACCCTGGGGACCTGGCTTCGGACCCCTGCAGGGGCCGAGTATGGACTGTGGACTGGGTTATGGTCCCTAAAGAGGTGCTAGACATCAACCCAAATTAAACGCAGGCACATTGCTGTGGAGAAACATCACTTCAGTTAATAATGTGCCCTCTCATGTCTTCAGCCTCCAGCAGCGGGACACGTCTCCATCGGGGATACGTGGAAGAGGCGGCACCTGAGGACACCCCACCCGAAACCACCCACATCGTCTTTGTGGTGCATGGCATTGGCCAGAAAATGGACCAGGGTCGCATCATCAGGAACACCAGCATGTGAGAGATCAAACAAATTCCCATTGGAAGCACAGATAATGGAAAAGGGATTCAGAATGAATCTTGAAGTGACTGTTTTGTCTTGGCGGGCAGGATGAGAGACGCTGCCAGGAAGATGGAGGAGAAGCATTTCTCAGATCGCACCACAGAGCATGTAGAGTTCCTTCCTGTGGAGTGGAGGTCAAAGCTGGCTCTGGATGGAGGTACCCTGCACCTCGACTCACCACATCCAATACAAAAACTGGTTCAGAGTTTGTTCTGCCTTACATGTTTAAAATGACAGGAAAAAGCCTAGTTACACTATTGAATTCAGAACTGAGACTTATTCACTATTCAATTATTACAACCAATGCCAATAGACATGGCGTAGTAAAAATGTCAATATGGCATATAAAATAAAAATGTTCAGGAAACACACAAAGAATGGTTATTGCTGATGGCTGGGCATAAACAGGGAGAAGCCATGAAAGCTGAGAGGAAACAATCTGACTAAAGTGAACTCAAGGGAATTTATAAATATTGAATTAAGCAGTGTGAAAGGGAACGCACAAGAAATCCCCCCAACAGTGGGGATACAAAGTCGTATTGACCTAATTGGAACTTGAAACAGGTCATTTGGATTATTAAATATCAAAGGGGTTTATCCTTTTAGGGGCATGATCAAACAAATGTATGATTGGATTATTATATATTTAGGTTGTTTTGTTGCCTTTGGATATCCCTAACTGGGTTAGAACATCACCAAAAAACATACAAATATGTATCCTCTAGGGATCATAAATATCCAATTTCAAAGAAATGTTTCTTTGTGATATCTTTTCTAAAACAAAAATGTTGAAAAAGCCAACATTCTGACTGTTCAAATATGTCACTATTAAATGTCAATTCCAGATGTCATAGTCAGTAGTTATCAGTGAAGTGCGGTGAGGTTCATGGCTGGTGAGGCACTGACTCTTTCAGAGTCAGATTTACAAATATTATATTTTGACCTTAATCGAAATATTCTGTTATTTTCAAAAGCTTTTTTAGTCTGATGCTTCAATTCAAGACCGTTCAACAAAAGGATACCCAAAATCTAAATATTGGATTGTTCTTTCTTAGTAAGATCCCATGTTCATTACAATTGTGGTCTTACCTTGACTTGAAGATGAAGTCCATGCTATCCTTCTGGACAACAATCTCTATTACTTTTTTGTAAAAGTCCTCCTTATCTTCCTCTAGTTTCAAAAGTCTAGTTTGTTGTTTGCGTCTCTGCGTAGAATAACAGTAGCAACAAGGACCTGTGGGCTCACTTGCGCCCCCTTCAGTGCGGCAGAGGTTATGGCTGCCTCCCCTGGTGCTTTTTTCATTGTCGTTGTATGATGAGACCAGCGAGCCTAAATATCATATATACGTGAAATAAGTTATTTAGAGACTATGGATGGCGAGGATAAATGTAATAAAGGGATCTACAAACATTACATTGGTGACATACAGTGAGATGGTGCAGGCATGCGCTTAGGGCCCGCTTTCCAGCCAGTTTCTGTGGGGTGACGCATTCTGAGGTGAGGCAGATCTCATCTGTGCCTCACCTCACCCCACAGTAACTGGCTTGAGCGCGCTCACAAAATAAGTGCCCGCGTTAAATTAGTGCCCGCGCTCCAGCCAGTTACTGTGGGCTTACGAGAGGCAGAGCTCGTCCCTGCCTCACTTCTCATCGCTACCCGTAGTTGTAGCGGAGCTCGGCAAATTTGCTGATTTTGACTATAAAAAGCGATTGGAATCAAACATAAATCACACTTACAACACAGATCAGTGGAGACATTTTATTATTATTACTATTTAGTTTTTCTTTAGTTGTTTTTGCGTTACATTGGAGTATGACAGGTGAGGCTCTGCTCCCCTGCCTCCCCTGACTGCACGTCGCTGGTAGTTATCATGATTTAGAATAAAAGGTTGGACAAAACAACATGTATTTCTGAATTGGTAAAACATTCAAATGTATATTTTTAAACACTAAGAATAACATTGTTTTCAATAGAATATGAAACAATATTACACATATGGTCTTTGTGATTGTCCTCCAGTTGGGTTTGATGTATTTGTGTTCTCCCTGCAGACAGGGTGGACTCCATCACCCCAGACAAAGTGCGGGGCCTCAGAGACATGCTGAACAGCAGCGCCATGGACATCATGTACTACACCAGTCCGCTGTACAGAGACGAGGTGAGACGGACACTACAGCTCTCCTTTCCCTGTAGTGAACACTGACTGAAGTTTAGCCTCGTTCTGTCCCCCCTCAGATGTGGTGCTGCACTTTGTTACTATGCTGGCAGTTCAGAAACTAAGTCCACTGAGCCCACATTAACTACATCCTGGTTAAACTGATTTAATCCAGCTCTAAATGGTGGTCTACTTCCTGACTGTGAAAGAATACATGAATCGCTAAGACCCTTAGGCCTCAATCAAATATATTCATATGTTATTGACACATAGCAAGGAATGCAAGAATGAGTCCTAAACCTCTGTTGTTAAAACAAGCTTCAAGGGGCTCCATTATTCTCATTTTCAGGTTCATATTAGTATTTTGTGCATCCATGTCTCCATGCTTTAATGTTCAACAAGCTCTTTATCTTTTCACCCTCTGTCTGAAACCAGAGCCCAGTCTGCTCTGATTGGTTAGCTGGCTAGCTCTGTTGGTATTGGTCAACAGCTAAGAGATGTTCCGCCCCTTAGCTTATCTTACAATGTGGTCAAGCAGAAAACAAAGGAGTCCAATGGAGGGGTTACAGGGGGGGCTTGGACCCCCTCTGGAACCAACAAAGGGATTTTAGCCTTTACAGACCATTTACATGCATACAAAAAAATATAACACACTACGGGAGAGGGAAACCCCCCAAAAGCAGAATAGGCCCCCCGTGAGGTTTTCCCGTTTTGTTCTACGACATAAAATACATCAATAATTACCCAACTCATGAATGTCAAGCTTCTTTGTGTCATAAAAATGGAGGTTGCCAACAAGTGACCAAATAGAATAATAAACGTCATCACGCCGAACATTAGCCGCCTTTAGCTTAGTGGTAGTGAAGCAATACGTTAGCGTTTTACTTCAGGCAACTGCATTTGCTCTTCAAAAATTATAAAAGGGGTGTTAATATGTGGAGATGATCCTGCTGGAAAAAAAAGTGAAAGTATGATAAACATGTGTTTTCTAAAGGTCTTAGATTCTGCAGTTTTCAAAAATCCAATAGAAAAATCCCATAGATTTTTGTCAGGGGGTCCCTTGAGCCTTAACTTTGGGAAGCCTACAACAATATGTCATCACTGCACCGCTCTATGTCTTTGAATGCCTCTCAAACGTGTGTGTTGTTGTGTGTCTGTGTGTGTAGATCACCAGAGGTTTGACTCTGGAGCTGAATCGTCTGTACTCGCTCTTCTGCTCGCGAAATCCGGACTTTGAGAAAAACGGGAAGGTGTCGATTGTGTCTCACTCGCTGGGCTGCGTCATCACCTTCGACATCATGACAGGCTGGGACCCCGTGCGCTTTCATCATCAAGAAGTGCCAGACCCGGAGGAGGCCAAGGCCCGCTGGCCTAATGGTGAGGAGCGCCACCTTCAGGAGCAGTTGAGACTCACACGCCTCAGGTACTGCACCGCTCATTCATCTCCAACAACGAGGAAGTTGATTCCACATTTACACTGACAAAACTGAATCGTTGACTTGAATTAAATGTATTACATAATACACTTAATTAAAGTCAACATTTCAGTTTCTTCAGTGTACAAAAATACATCATCACTGCCACACCCTAAATAGGAAGACACTGAATGCTAAATGTTTACTTCAGTAAGAAGGTACAGGAAACTTTAGAATGTGTATTCCATATGTATATAATAGGTAAACATGTAGATCAATCCTTTGATAATCCCATCTCTAGTGTTGGGAAGTTGTTTTTCCTACTTCAGTGTGTTCATTAGCTTTAAGACATTATGTGGATCAATAAAGACACTGCAAAGAAGATGCCCCAGCATAATGATTTAGGAAGATTGGCCTCTTTACATTCATTCATCTCTGCACACTAATCTCTGTGTCTATTATCCCAGGTTGAGAGACTTAGAGGATCAGTTCCAGGGTCTGCGGACTTCCTCTTCTGCTGTGCCAGAGTTGAAATTCAAGGTAAATACTTTAAGTACATTGATTCATGGACTCCTGTTACATTTTCGTATGGATTTCTGCGTGCATCAAAAACACATTCAGGTATCTTACTTTGTTATGCATTTTTATTTCCACTATAAACAATTGCTGCTATTATACAACTACTTTGTGTGAAAGGAAAAACTGTTTTATGGAGAAATAACAAAATAAATGTTTTGAATCCTTCTATATGCATTATTGGCGCTTATCTGACTCCATACAACCTCTGATTCATTCTGCACTGAAAAAACTGAAATGTTGACTATAATTAAATGTATTAAGTTAACATATTTCACTTAAAGGTGGGGTATGTAATTTTGGAGAAACCAGCTCGAGTGCGCTAGAATTTGAAAGTACGCAGCCGAAAGAAATCAGCCACTTCCTTCAGACTTCCTTACAGAGCCCCTCCTCCAACACACACGAATGCGCACATGACCAATGAGGGCACGAGATACATTTGTGCACAGATGGAAGGCTGATAGGCAGGTAGGCCATCCAGTTATTTAACATAGTGGCCCAGTACAGCCACAGTGCTATGTAACTGGTCAATGAGCTGAGAGCCTTAGACCCCGGCCACACGAGGCCGAAAACGGCTAAACGCATAGGATTAACGCAAACGCAATCGCAAAAAAGCTTCCGTCCACACGCAATAGTCATCCGGATAGTGTCTGCCCACACGAGACCGCTCCGTTTAGCTCCAACCGCTGGAGAAGCTGCAGTACATATGCAGGAGCCTGTACGTGGCGCTGTAACTTCCTCCACAAAAGCAGCGAAGAAGCATGGTTGTCATGGTTGCCCTTCTGTTTATTCTCCGCGGTGGGGGCCGAGGGAACCGGGCAGAGTTTTTCGCCAGTCATCGTGTATTAAAGTTTAAATCTTCCGAGAAAATTATAAAAGTGCCGGTCAAAGGTCTTCTTTGTTATTTATTGAGCTTTAAAACAAATGAATAATGACTCTATATAATATAATAATAAAAATACACGGAGCCTCTCTTTTTCCTCCCTCTCTTTGGACAGCGCCAGTGTCTGTTTCATGCAGCAGCTGATCCAGTAAAAATAAACATATTTATAACTAGTTTAGGTAGTTTGAGAGGTGACTCCGTCCTGTCAGATTAGACTTCACTCGCGTTTATGTCCATATCGAGAGAAAGATAAATAATCTGAATTCAGTGTGCAGTTTACTTTGACGCGGGGGTGAGCAGCAGAGGTGGGGAGAGGCGGGGCTATTGCGCAATCATTATCAGAAAATGATCGCTGAAGCTGCAGTACATATCCACAAAAGCAGCGAGTAAGATCCCCCCCGGATGTGTAAGTCTGCTGTAGATGTTGCACAAAGAACTGTAGCATGGTCAGTAACGTCCGGAGCACGATAGCAACTCTGCGATCCGCCATTGTTGTTGTTGTTGGTGGCGAAACACATCAGCAATGGCGCGGGGTAAGCGGAGGTGAGCAGCAGAGGTGGGGAGAGGCGGGGCTATTGCGCAATCATTATCAGAAAATGATCGTATAGGGCGCACACACGGAGCTGTTTGACCCCCCAGAGCATTGCGTATGCCGTTCTATCCACCTTGGGACCCGTTATCGTTTCCTCAGTCGGTTAGTGCCGTATTCGGTCGTCCTCGTATGGCCGAATGGTCTATATGACACTAAACAGTAACGCAAACGGCCGTTTTTGTCCTCGTGTGGCCGGGGCATTACATGAGTCTCTTGATCTCTTGTTGAATTCTGCTGTTCTGTGTTCTCTGTGTTGCAGGTAGAAAACTTCTTCTGCATGGGCTCTCCTCTGGCTGTTTTCTTGGCTCTGCGGGGGATCCGGCCTGGAAACAGCTGTGTGCAGGACCACATTCTCCCCACATCCATCTGCAAACGCCTCTTCAACATATTCCATCCCACAGACCCTGTGGTGAGCACAATTGTGTCGCTATTCTGACTTTTATGATCAGCAGACATTTATTGATGAGTAGCCCACTGGCCAACAATTGCTGGTGTTGCTATAAGATTACATACAAAAATCCATGTAAACTAAATAACAAACAGGCAGTTATATTCAGATACAATGTAGAAACCCTGCTCTAACATTTGTATGTGTTTGTTTGTTTGTTTCAGGCGTATAGATTGGAGCCTCTCATCTTAAAGCACTACAGTAACATTGCACCTGTTCAAATCCACTGGTAAGACAAGTTGTTATTTATAACAGATGCTGGTTATTAATTAATCCCCCTGTACATTTAAAAAAAAAAAAAATCTACTAAAATGTAGCCTACTGTCTTCAGTGCTTGTCTCCTTCTCTTGATGTGGTCACAACACAGGTACAACACCACCAGCCCGACCCGGTACGATCAGGTCCGGCCCACGCTGCTGAACCCCCCCAAGGAGACGGCCTCAGTGTCCGACTCAGAGAGCATCCCCAGCCCCTGCACCTCTCCCCCGCAGGTCCGACGGCACTACGGAGAGTCCATCACCAGCCTCGGCAAGGCCAGCATCATGGGTAAGCACCAGTGTTGGGGGTAAGGCGCTACAAAGTAACACGTTACAGTAATCAGATTACATTTGTCTGTTATTTAACGTGTTACTGTTGATAACAGCAGTAACTACATGACAGTTATTAAGCACAAAACTATCGAATTACTTGCGTTACTTTAAGGTCTTGGAACTTCCAGGTCTTCCAGGTAAAATAAATCAAACGTCCCTTTTCTCTTGCGCTACACTCGCAAAAATATCAGAGTCTCAAGCAGAGATAAACAGGTTTGTTGCAGCGTGGAGGAAATGTAGCCCGTCTCCACGGTGGAAACTAGCCAACAAATAATATGAAATAAGCACTAATTAAGATCAATGTAAATTATGAAAAAGCCATATTACATTGTGCCGAAGTCCACCAAATGTGGGCTTTTACTGACAATTTCTTTCTCAAGCTTTTCTCTTATTTCCTTTGCAATTCCATATCCTTGTGGAAGGCCCTGAATGCCTGGGAAGCACTCACTGTCTGCCTGATCTGTGCTGAGAGGAATAGGAGCTGCTTGCACTGCTGATATTGTAGCAAGGCAAGCAGTTGACAGTAGGCAGGGGCTCAACAGATCAATAGAAGCAATTAACTCTGGTCTCTGTTACTTTCCTTTATGCATCAGAGGAAAGCGGGACTAAAGGCAAATAAATAGCACAAACTGACTACTTACCCAAGCCCCACTGTTCGCCGTCATTTTTCTCCCGGGTTGTTGTGATCACATGACTGACAAAGCCGTGCTCTGATAGGCCAGAAGTCGGTTTGATTGCATTCAAGCTCGGTTGCTTATCCTGTCTGAGTAGCCCGGATGATGCTGCATTGCAATTTTGGACATCGAATTTTATACACCGACATTTTTTACTTCGAATTTTATACACCAAAATTGTGCATTCAAATTATTTTCACTTGAATTTTTGGGATCTGAATTTCAAGATTCAAATTTTTTTAACTTTAAGTTTTACATTTTCATTTCACATAAAAAAAATTCAGATACATGATTTTCAAAGTAATTATTTTCAATGCTATACATTTGGTGTCTAATCAAATTCAAATACTTCTGTCTCTTGTTTGCTTCCATATATAAGTCCAGTACAAGCCTTACAAATCTGCTATTTTTTTGACAGTCTGATACCCACTGGAGTATTAGGTCAAATACTGACTGGGTTTCTATAGGAATAATCCCCCCACCAATAAGTATGTCACTTGTAAACTTCCAAAGCTTTTTTGTGTTATGAAAATGGCAGTTGCTTACAAATGGCTAAATGAGACTACTCAACGTCATCAAGCATTAGCCACTGTTAGCTTAGCTGTGGTGATGAGTAGCCATGTGACAATGATTTAGCTCCTTTATAGCCTAACAATAGCATGTTACTACTAGTGGATGCATATGTTGTTAAAAAAACATAAAGTGGTGTTAATACGTGAAGATTATCTTGCTGAACAAAACGTGTAAGTATCAAAAACGTTTTTTTACCACAGATTTATTTTTAATAATCACACCACAATAATACGTTCCCGGATCAAATGACAGAAATATGTCTTCACTGCGCCACTTTATTTATAACTCAATTAGTGAATTATATGCCCCTCAGGTGCTGCCAGTATTGGAAAGGGAATCGGAGGAATCCTGTTTTCCCGCTTTTCCCGTTCCAGTGGCCAGGTGGGCGGAGTGGAGGAGGAGCCATTAGATCCTGAGGGCGGAGCCTCTGAGGTTGAAACAGTGGCATCAGGAGAGGAAGGAGTAAGTGTAGCAGAAACCGAGGAGAAGGACAAAGAAATCGAGGAGGAGAGGACAGAGGTGGAGCCCGTCATGTCCCAGTCCATCTCAGCGGTCATGGACAGCACCTCGTGTGAGTACAAACCTACCTGCAACTAAGTACATTTACTCAAGTATTGTACTAAAGCAAAACATTGAGGTACTTGTACTTTTACTCCACTACATTTTGTAGGCAAATGTTGTACTCCACAAAATGTTGTACATCTTTAGATACTTGTTACTTTAAAGATGTAGGTTCTTGATATAACATTTAAATCAATACATTATTATAAGTTATTATACTTTTAGCTACATAGTTATAGATAAAGTTATTAAAATACTCCATGTTTACCAAGTGCAACATCGCCGTGATGAACACATTTACTACAATTATTTAAAAATATTTGGTGCTCAAAAGATCAATTTTGCATAACAAGTACTTTCACTTTTGGTACTTACTTACTTAATACTTTTGTACTTTTACTTAAGTATGATTTTGAATACAGGAAGTTTACTTTTCGTAAGTAAATAATGCAGTACTTCTTCCAGCTTTTGCCTGCAGCTGTATATGACAGTCCAAGTAAATTAACCATACAATGTATTCTGTTTCCTGTAGTCATTTCTCAAGCTCGTTGCCATTCTTTTTTTGTATTTGCATACATAAGAAATAAAACGATATCCTCCTTGCTGACAAAAGTGCAAAAAGAAGATTAAGATAAGTGATAAGATAAGATGTACTTTATTGATCCTAAATTGGGAATGTTTTGCATTGCAGCAGCATAAAAAACAAAACAAGCTTCAATCGCTACAACTGAAACCATATACAAACCACACACAAAGTGACCAGAACACTGCAAGTGCATCTTTCAGTACATTTTGACAAGTGGTGTATGTCAAAGGGGGAACATAGCACTAATGAGGGGTTCAGTAGGGGGGTCGGATGTCAGTGGGGGTGCACAGTGTGTTGGTGACCCTGACTGCCTGTGGTTGAGAGCTAATTAGCGCTCTGATGGGTTTGCCACATCTGCTGCCAACACTGCAGGAGGGAGCAGACTGTGGTAACAGTGGTGGGGGTCCATGATGAGGATGGAGGCTCTGTGAACATAGTGTTGATGGTAAATCTCCAGCAGGAACAAGAGGGGGGCACCATTGATCTTGTGAGGTGTCTTTACTCTCCTGTTTAGCTGGTGCTTTCAGTAACCAACCCATGTAGCGTAGCTATAGGTCAGAATTCCTTCAATGGTGCCCCTGTGGGAGTTGGCGAGGACTGGCGTGGGGAGACTTGCCCTTTAAAGTCTCCTGAGGAGTTGTTGGGCCCTTTTTATCAATGGCTGAACAGTTGGTGGTGGAGTTCAAGTTATCAGTATGGTGTGCTGCCAGGAACTCGATATAACTGACTCTCTTCACAGCAACACAATCAATATTCACTATTCAAATTAAGTGTCAATATTATCAAAGTTTATGCTCCTGTAGAGGCAACTTTACTGAATATCATCTGTTATTTGTCTAACCCTGAACATATCCGTCATACTGTAAATAATAAATGTCAGTATTATTAAGAGTTGAGAAAAATACAGACTTACTATGGTGACAATGAGACAATGAGACAATACTGCTGAAGTCCCCCAGGTTCCAGATAACCACTAAGGAACATTTCTTTGTGCAGCTGGATACTAATCCGTCTTCTCCTCTGTTTTAGTGGAACTGGAGAGACGCATCGACTTCGAGCTGAGGGAGGGCTTGGTGGAGAGCCGCTATTGGTCGGCAGTGACCTCACACACAGCCTATTGGTGCTCTTATGACGTGGCACTGTTCCTCCTCACCTTCATGTACAGACCACAGGAGCCTGTAGAGCCTGCAGAGGACAGCCCAGAGACCTCGTAGCATGCAAACTGACACATGGAGCCATAACGGGTGGGGTCACTTCCCTTTCTATTCGCCCCTTTTGAATATAGACTGAAAGCCCAGTTTATGGAACATTAAACAAAAAAATTCCGTCTCTACATCTTAAGTTTTCAAAATTCAAAATCAGAATTCTCAGCTTGATTTTTGTGAAATATTACCGTATAAATAACAAATTATTTAATATATTCTAGGATTTGGAAATGTGAGAATTTGGAGGACTTATTATTTTTAAATGTAATGTCATCGAACAATAATCAATTATCAAGTAGTTGATTTGACTGGAAAGGGGTTAGTCTAAAGCCCTGCTTGCGGTTCAACACTACAGCTTTGCCATTTTTTATTTTACAGCCCTAGATTTAATTTAATATTGGCTGTAATAAGATGAAAACTTTATAACATTTTATTTTTATTTAAATTTGCCATACTTCATCCAACAGCAATTTAATTCACTTTTTTTTTTTGTGGCATTACTTGACTTACATATCGGCTAGCAATGCCATCTAAACTGACAGAACCTCAATGTGACCTTTGCTACAGACTGAGCTACTCTCCTGTTTCCTGCTCAACAACAGCTGTTTCCTGGGCAGAGCACCCTGCAGTGCCAGTGACCAATCATATTTACTCGTCCAATCACAAAGCTCTGTTGCTCCTTCACTGTGAATGTGATGCTGAACCTGTAGCCATAGAAAGCCCCAGTGCTTGATCCAGGTCAACCCTGTGCTCCTGTGAAAAGTGTTTTTTATAATCTCATGCTTCAGATGAGAACAAAACACACACAATGCACTACATGGACAAGGCTTTCTAAAACCTGAATACTTTGCAGACAATCAAAAAAGGTCAGCATTTAATGATTTTGACCACTAGAGGGCAGAGACTTCAAAACAGACTCCTTCGCAGAGCCAGTGTGAGAGCAGCACGTTAGCATAGCATCAGTAGCTTCAGAGCTTCTCTGTGTCTAAACAGGATGCATTCAGGCACAGTGTTGATTGTAGTTCCTCTGCATTTTGGCAGTGCTCAACACACAATCACTGTAGCTACACTCATTAAATAGAAAACACATAGGCTCTGTTTTTCAACGTGCAATGCTAAGCTAAAAAGTTGCTACCTTCAGGATGGTTCCATTTATATGCACTCATGTAACCAGGTTGTATTTGTTTTTTTTACAATTTAGATTTCTTACATGCTAGATTCCAGACAAAAAGGTGTCAATGTGAAAGGAGAAAACATTAGTAGTTACAATGCATCCTTGTAATTCAATTCAATCTAAAGTCTGATGGTAATGGAAATGAACACCAAGGGTTCTATTTTTTGTTATTGAGTGTCGTTCAAACACACTATCTGTAATTTGCTCTGGCTTACTGAAACGTTGTCTTTAATTAAACAAATGTATGTCAACAATTTTCATATAACTATATTAGGTTAGTTGAAAGCAATAATATTAAGTTTAACCTAATATTTTCATTAGGTTTCAACGAACGCAATACAGTTAGTGAATTCTGTCGACATGATACATTGAATTAAAGTCAACATTTCAGTTTTTCAGTGTTGGCATAACTAGATATGCCAACACTGCACAATCAGCCCAAAAAGATTGTCACACCTCACATCAGTCACTACTGTATGTGAGTATCAGTTTCAATAGGAATTTTCCTACACACCCAAATTGTTTCTTTGTGTAAGCCAGTTTCTTGAGTGCATCTAAACATACTACATGACACTCTAGGTTGTGGTTCTATGAGCAGAGCAACACTACATGGAAGAAATGTAAATGTACATGATGGTTATAAGATCATTGTAGCATTGCTGCTGCATGAAGAGTCGCTTCAGGTAGGATCCCTTCACGGCATGTATGCACAGCGAAAATATCAAAACCTATCCTTATCGACTTTACTCCACTCTCGTATCATCATGTTTACATAGAACTGTTGTTTGTCAGGAATTAAGGACACACACTGATGATTAACTGATAAAAAAGCCTAGTATTCTTGAGTTGCCAACAGAATACTTCTTTACCAGATTATGCCATAACTGTAATCTCAGTCTGTTAAACACATACCAGAGACTAAAACACTGCACATGATTTCCTGTATTTTATTAAGAGGTATCGTACCAAAGGATCACTCATTTGTCAAACAGTTCAAATAAATAGTCAAATATTGCTTGTTAATATGAATACTGTGTGACCCAGGATGGATTTCTTCTCGTTTATGTATTTATCTTTAAGCATTTGAATGTTTTTCAAGGAAGTTTAATACACACTTACAAACGAAGCATGGTTTGGATATGTGCCATGTACAGATTCTCTCTCTTTTTGAGTCATGATCAGCATGCGAACCGACATTAAGGTCCTGCTGATTTATGAAATGCTACAAATGGAACACTCATACCAGCCATGAATGAAGCCTACAATTGTATATTTGTACCCTTTTGTTTATTGCTTTGTTATTATTTCATGTTTACAGTGCTGTTTTTCTTTTGGATGTTCATTATGTTATGTTTGTATGTGTATTGTTTACATTCCCAACAATGCCCTCTGGCCTCCAACTGCACCCACAGTCAACTCATCCAAAGTCTGTTCTAATGGTCACCTACACAAACAGAAATGCATCTCAAAAGCTTGATTTGTTATTTAACTCAATTATCTTTCTTTTGAATTATGATCACATGCAACAAGTATGCATTAGCACTTCAGTTGTGGGGAATGTATTGCTTACTGGGTAGTTAGCACCCACTCGTGAGAGGCAGGTAACACTTGAACAAAGGTTTATTGAACTTATATTAAAGCGTTACAGGAGGTTATTTCCATCCAAATGCATCTCAACCAGTCTACTACAGACTACAGAGCTATTGATCCCTTTAACATCTCTGTTTACTACATTCACATCAGCATCACCTAGCCTCCTTCGTCAAAAACGCAGATTTAACTTATGTACCGATGTGCATCAGGTAAAACTTTGAAAAACACAACGTATTATTGTCAAAACTGGTTAAAAAAATTGCATCAGTGAGCAAGCATTAAGATTCTCCCTGAATCCAAATAAATGCATAATGTTGCTTAAAGGATAGGGATTAGGTTGAATTATGACTATGAGTTATTATCTAACAGTCTGGATGTTGAGTCTCTGCTGGAGTTTGGTTGGTGGCTGATGGTGTTTTTTCCATCTGCTCCAATGTCACCCAAATGCTAAACAGGACTTTATTTCTCCTTGTTTCAATGTCTATTGTAAATGTCATAGGATTTAGTGGGTATCCATGTGGAGCAACTCAATCCACCATCACCTGTGCCATATGTAAGCAACCCAAACACATGCTAGAGATTCCTTGTTTTGAAGTGACAGGAGTGTGTCCTCCTGAGCACCGATGTGGTGTTGCGATGCGTTCAAGCGTATGGCTGGAGGTAATTCCACTTCACCAAGTTGAAAATAAATAAACATTCTCTCGATAAATGGTTGGGCAGAAAAAACTGTTGTCAAATCACATTCAGTGATGTAGAACATATCATCTCACGACCAAGTTTATTCACCAATCAGTGACTAATTGGACAATGGACTGTTCACATTTCATGTTAAACAATTTTTGTAGTGCCATTTTCCAGTATCCAATTGTAACAGCTGAACTGTGCAATCAGGGAAGTATTGGAACATCTTCAGAGGAAGGTCAAATTCCTTTATTGACTGAAAGGTAATGAGATGTCCTACTTTGCATTTAGGGTTACTGTCATTCTGTTGCCATGATCACTGCGTCTCCCCTCGCTGTACTGTTCCTTCTCAGATGATATGGTGCTTTACCTTGATAGACCTTTGATTTTTCTTTAAATAAAGGAGAAGTACACCTCCCCCGTGCTCTCCGTTCATTCAGTTATTATCAGCACACTGAAAAAACGAATACATTTACTTTAATTAAATGTAGTATACATAATCTACATAGCTGTAGGGGAGAGTGGGGTAAGTTGAGCCATTTTTTAGTGATGCTGTCCTCTAAGCAAGGAGAAATGACACATAGTAAAATGAAAGCACACACCTAAAATTCAGGATGTCTCCTATCAATGGCAATAATAAGAATTCATATTTGATCAAGGGCAGTGAAAATATTACTTCTAAAAAAAAAGTGGTCTTGTGGCTCAACTTGCCCCAGTGTAGGGGTAAGTTGATCCAGGTCAGGGGGTACATTGAACCACTGTTCAAACCTGGGCATACCTGTTCAAACCTGGGCAGACCTACTACAAATCTTAAAGGTAACTTTAAACAATAAATAACAAACCAAATACAAGTTTAGTTTTTCAAATATTTTTAATATAAATTTCGATTGAATTGATTGATTTTTTTTAACATGTTAAAAGGATGGTGATACAATTTCATACAACTTACCAATCAAACACAGGGTAAATTCAACTTTAAATGTAGCCTACAATGAGCTCTTATTATCAACTTGTCCTACTTTCATTAATTTCTCCATTGAACCACACTGGCTCAACTTACCCCAAGGCCCATGGTTCACTTTACCCCATAGCCACCATTTTAGAATAAATAGCCTAGCATTACAATTCAGAGTCATATTTAGCTTAATGATTCACATGGTTTAATACGCTGCCAACACATCAACATATACAATATGTGTTTAAACCTGGATACATTTGTTTACATGACAGCCGATATAGCTGACATCTAGAAAATGTACTTTGACTTGCAAAAAAGCAAGAACTTTTTTTCTTAAAAAATTCGACAATTTTCAAGTGGTGGCTCACACAACAACCCCAGAGCCACCACTTGAGCCAGGTAAACAAGGTATGTAAATGTCAGTAAACTTCCAAGTTATGCAAACATGTAAGCAAAGCATAAATTACAGCTACGTTGACGTTACTTTGAATCGCGGGGGTAAGCTAAACAGTTAGCAAGTAGCTATAGCTAGCCAGATATATTAAATAAACACTTTGTCATACAATCTAAATGTTATGTTTTTTTGCGTTACCTGGTGATTTCAAAGAAAGCTCTCTGGGAAATGTTGACTTACTGTTCGACATAAAGCTAGAAGCTACCTTACAGTAGGCTACACAGTTGATCCTGAGTCCTGTCAGTTAAAGTGTTTCATAGTTAGCTTAGCTAAGCATCAACCTAGCACTGAAATATATGGATGTTATGTGACAGTATTTCTGAGAAAAGTTCCGTGTTGTGTGTAGTGAGAACGCGCTAAAGTAAGGGGGCCCCCAAGCCAAAGCTCGCTTAGGGCCCCCGAAAGTCTAGGGCCGCCCCTGTCTGTGGCTATCTACCAGCGATCATGTTTAATATTAAAGACTACACACATGTAGATATATATTTAATGATAATATAAATATAAAATATGCAAATCAGGTCATGTGTTTCGTTATGTAGTATGATCATCACCGACAGATGGAAAGACAACAATAACAAGGAATTCATATTAATATTACCAAGTTACACAGAAATAGATACAAAATATAAGAAAAAAGACCACAAAGATAAAAGCATAAACGTTAAGAAAGAAACGAAAACATGTTCACAGCAGAGTAAAAGTTATGAATATATGTGTTTGTAGTTGTCAACGTATGTGAGTTTTCTCGTCATTCGGTTTGTGTCGCTGTATCGATGCATAACGAAAGTTAAACAAGTAAACAGTCACATCTTATCTGGATAAGTGCTGCAAAGTGCAGAATACCGTTTTGATAAGGGATACATGTGTGTAGTCTTTCATATTAAACATGATCGCTGGTAGGTAGCCATAGAACAGAAGTCGTATCACAATTTAACCTGGGCGGAACACAGTTTACCACAGCTGAAGATTTCTCCATGCTGCTTTCAAACTGTGAGTAAACTACGTGTGCTTCACTTGGGGGCTGTCTGAAGGTGTACACATGTCTCAGATGGACTTGGTATCACATTAAGAACGATATTCAGTAATAAGTCTGGCAAAAATAACTGGTTTAAATGATTTATTCAAGCATGCAATGTTTTGAACAGACATCCCCAGTCACCTCATTGTCATTTTGTAGTCCTCACTGTAGCCAATTAGGTCAGTTGAAAGCAACAATAATTGGTTGGAACTAATATTCCTTAGAATGTTACATTCATTGTTCTAGGACTGTTTTCAGCGGGAAGTTTTCTTTTGGTTCCCAGAACGTTCTTCTGAAAGGTAGGATAACGTTATCTAAAAACATTCTTAAAATGTTTTTGATAACATTGTTAGAACATTATGCCCTACTGTTCTTAAAATGTTTTCAGCTGCAAGTTAGATTTGTTTATGTTGCCAGAATGTTATTATTTTAGAGAAGGATAACATGCTTTATGTTTAAAGCATTATGCAAATGTTCTGTGGCAACAATTTACTAAAATATGTTTACATTATTAGAACATAAATACATAATATTCCAACCCAGGCTCACAAAAAAACATGTAATAACTACGTTGGTCCACAACGTAGGACGTAGTATTTCTACAAAAACGCCTCTGAAATTGTAAGATCCCTACGTTTTTTTTCACCATTCATTCCAATGGCTGGCGTCTATGTCACGTGATCTTCACATTTCTCCCTGCAGAAAAAAGAAACATGGCCGAACTTCGTTTTATTCTCTGTGTAAAATGCCTATTTTAAAGTTAGTTTGGCCATTAAAATGCGTTTTGATGTAATTTGATGCGAGAAATATGAGTTGTTATTTCAGATTATGTGTGCAGTGGATGTACATGATCTTTAGTTTGCTAGTTATTACGAAGATTACTTCAGGAAATTGTTTCTATACAACGTTTTCATTGTTACCAAGGTGGTTGCTAGGGATGCTGCCATCGATATTATTTCTGTTATGTTGTGTAACTGTTTAATTGTGTTATCTTTATTGCTACCCCCTTCCCCGTCAATGTATAGTGTTGGTCCACAGCGCAAACGTATTAGTTTAACAAAATCCGCATCTAAAATTGTGGCATAGATACGTTATTTTCCCCTGTGCAATTCTCTATTTACTCAACAATAACACATACATTTATCCTTGTGTTTATTTATTTGTTTGATTAATAAACACAAGTTGGAGTCCGTCAGGAGTCCCGAGGGTCGGAGCAGCTCATTTGCTTTACAGAATATTACACCCGGAAGTAAGTATTCTCTCCGCTTCGCTTGACAAACCCCGTGATAGTCCTCAAGCTCTGTGATTGGAGAGTGTGCCGATCGTCGAACAGCACTTGAAATGGGATGGAACCACGGCAGACTGTCCAAAGCTGGATTTGAACGGGTCAACCCCGTCCCCCCTCCCCCACCCCGTCCCCAGAACTACACATGCTGGCTATTGTGTTTCGCAACATGCTCTACGGCACTCCTCTACTGGGAGTTGTAGTTTTAAAAGACGTTTTCGTATTTCCCATAATAAGAAGTGGCCAGTATTAAACTGTGTACATCCCTGGAGGTTTAGGGGATAGGAAACACTCAAATGTAAAACATAATTAATAAATGGGTGAACATCGCTTGTGCCCATAATGGGCAGCATTACCCACATGCCAGCTAAGGTCAGAAGAGCTTTATTTAACAGCTGGTCTTATGTTTGTGACCCCTCCTGTTGTTAATTGATGAACCTGAAACATGCACTTGTCAAGGTTCAGAGGCACATTTTGCAAATATGGCAGTAGCCATCGATCATCTTAAGATAAGATATACTTTATTGATCCCAAGTTGGAAACATTTGCGTTACATCAGCATGTGTAACAGTTGTAAATATGCAGTGGTGTTTATTTGTAAATTATTTAGTATAATCACACAAATTCTGTGTTTTATATTTAATAATTCTGTGTTCTTTATTTATTGATTGTTCAATACCTGACAAGGTCGGAGATGAAAAACTTTGGTCGCAGGTTCCTCAACAGACATCTATCAGTATGTGTGTACCTCCACCATTAAACTGTCGTATTCTGCACATTTCTTATACTATCTACATACATCTTATATAAGAGTATAATACATATGTATAATATCAGTTAAAATAAGTGCTTCAACATAGTTAACATTGCTGGAGGTATACACAAAGTTTTTCATTCATTGCATAACTACACGTTTGTGTATATGATATGTCAATAAACCTTATAAAATCTTGAAATCTTGAAAGGGATGTGCAAAATAGTCATTATATACAGTCTTTAATTAACTATTAGTAGAGAACGAGTAATGAATATACTTTATAGGGATCCTATTAATATCTAATAATAAAAATAATGAAATTCAATAACATGCTTTAACCACCAGGTGTCCCTTTATATCAGCTGTGCACATTTATGGTGTAAATACAGCCTATCTACCAATTGGATCAAATATAAAAGTCAGCCGAATTAGTGTTGATAATGCAAGGAGACGTATTGTGTGAAAAGAAATGTAAGATGTTGTTTAATGGCTGATATATTTATGATCCACGTCACGTTTTCAGTGTTGGCGACAGTTCCTCATGTTTGAGAAAAGCAAGCACACTCGGAATAAAGTGTTTTCGGTCTGTTTCCGGTATTTGTTTATGACGATGTGATGTGAGATGTGAGACTGGAATTGCACAGGGGAAAATAACGTAGGCCTATCTATGCCACCATTTTAGATGCGGATTTTGTTAAACTAATACGTTTGCGCTGTGGACCAACACTATACATTGACGGGGAAGGGGGTATCAATAAAGATTACTCCATTAAACTGTTACACAACATAACAGAAATAATATCGATAGCAGCGTCCCTAGCAACCACCTTGGTAACAATGAAACGTTGTATCGACACAATTTCCTGAAGTAATCTTCGTAATAACTAGCAAACTAAAGATCATGTACATCCACTGCACACATAATCTGAAATAACAACTCATATTT